TCAGGTTTTAAACTGCCGTCACGACTGCACAGGATGAATGGCACACTTGGGGAGGTGGTCTGGGAGCTTGTTCCTCAGCTTGGGGAAAGAACAGACTTTTTTGGGTTGATGGTGACTGAGCACTCAGTTCTGTCAACAATTTCTAGGCAAAGAATTAACAGAAACTCAGAGTTGTGGTAAAGTAAAATTTTCTACTGCAAAGCTTCATGAAACCTATGGAAATTATTCCCCTTTTCACAAAAGGATGAGCTGCAGACAATGCAGAGGTTGTCCAGTGGGACTCACTGTCGGATGAGGTCAGCACACCCAGGAGGTTGCAGGAGGTGACTTTAAGAAAATGGCCTTTCTTAAAGCCCTTCTTGTGAAGAAATGTTTCACTGAGTTTTCTTTCTTAAAGAATCTGAAATTGCTTTGTTCTGTATACTCTGATGGATTTTTGGACTATAATCTATCCTCCTGATTTTACAAATAATCAGGAAAATAAAAGGTCATTTGTGTGGTTCACCTGTGTTAGCTTTAACTTTCAGTATATTGATTCTCTAATTTGCCTTGCTCCTTCAGGGCCCTGTTATAATTCTCCAATATTCAGTCATGCCTACAGAAATGGGCCTTGCTTACTGCTGTCTCTTTAATAGCTCACTTTCTACAGCAATTTGGGCTACTTAGTAAAAACTGAGGTGTGGGAGTCCAAACTAAAGGTTTTAGCTGACTCCATATTCACAAAGTTCTCAAAGGAAAAGGGCAGGAAGGGCTATACAAGGAATCTCTCGGACCCCTTTTCACTGTGCACAATCTCAAAACAGCTATGGATCAGATTCCCACTGCATAGTATTTGAAAGAGATCTCCAGCTCTCAGAAGAAGACACACTTTTGGCTCTGTATCATGGCTTACTATACATCTAAATAAGCACAGGTTTCAGATTTCTGGAAAAGTTAAAAAAATATATATATGTATATATTTTGGTACGGGGGATCAAACTCAGGACCTTGCTCTTGAAAGGCAGGCGGTGGCCCCACTGCGCTAAATCCCAGTTCTTAAAAAAATAATTTTTAATAAAACATAGAACTAAGTATGACTTACTTAATATTTTATTATTTTAGAAATGAAATTCCAATGCTTGGTAGCCTAGTTCAAGTTACTGTATGGGCTCAACTGTGTAAGTTTCTGGTTCTGGTAGTTCAAAATACACATTAGCAGGGCTGGGGATTTAGCTCAAGGGCACCGCACCTGCCTCGAAAGCAAGGTCCTGAGTTTAATCCCTGGAGTGGGGGGATTAGCTTCTGCCCCCAACAGGTAGGATTAGAGATTAGATCACTTAAGACAACTCTTGAGAAAACTTTAAATAAAATAGTTTAAGAGCACAAATCAATATACTTTCACCGATAGAAAAAGTATCAAGAGTAACAAAATGAGCCAGAGCATAAGAAATATATATTGGCTGGACCACCATAGTCCCTGTGTACCACGACCCTGACCACATCCTCCTGTGTGTCCACTGAGGTAACCCCCACCTAACTTTGCATCTTTTCTTCTTTTTCTTTGTATTTTTAATACTATATGCTTGACTTTATGTCTGAACTTTTAGTTTTCAATTTGAGATAGGGTCTTGTTAAGGTGCGTAGGTTGGGCTTGAAGTTGTAGTCCTCCTGCCCCAGCATCCCAGAGTGGTGGGATCATAGGTGTGCACACCACACCTGACTGCAACTTGCTTTTAATTTTTTTTGTGGTACTAATAATTGAATCCAGGACCTCTGAACTAAACTACACCCATAGCCCTTTTCAAATATGTTTTTTTGAGACAGTGTCTCACTAAATTACCCAGCCTAGGCTCAAATTTGCAATCCTCCTACCTCAGTTTCTGAGTGCTGGGATTATAGGCATATGTGGCATGTCTGGCTGCATCTTGGTTTTCCCCCCCATTAATTTTATTGGTACATTTTAGGTAAACAATAAAATGACATTTGTCATGGGGAATCTGTACCTCTACATATCTTGGTTCTTATTTTTTTCCCCATCTTCCTGCTTTTCCATCAACCCCTTCACCCCTTCCTATTTACAAAGACTTTGTTTCCATTTTTTTCTTGTATTTCTTTCCCTTCTTTCCTTTCCCTTCCCCAACCCTTCCCACTTCCCCTTCCTCTTTGCACCTTTTCTTCCTGTTTCACATTATCTATTATACATTTTGATCCTCATTTACACTCTCAGTTTCTCACACCAGAGAAACTATTCGGTTTATGTCATTTAAGAGTATGGCCTCAATATGCATCTGCTTAGCTATAAATGTCTCTAGTTTCTCGTTCTTTATGGCTGAGTAGTACTCTCCATTTTATAAAAAACAAAACCCACATCTTCTTTATCCAGTCTCCAGTTGATGGGCAATGGCTATTTCCAAGTTTTAGCTATTATAAACTGTGCCGCTATATGCACCTTATTTTTTTTTTTCAGCTTTAATTGAGTTTATTGGTATGTTTTAGGGATACAGTACAGTTACATTCATTGTTGGGATCTACCCTTCACCCTCCACCCCTGCGCACATACAAACACTTTATTTCCACCTTTTCATTATCTCACATTTTTTAATTTTCCCTTTTTACCCTTCCCCTACCCGTCCCACCTTCCCTACACCTTTAGCTCCTTTCTTCTCATTTCTCAAAGTCAGTAGTCTTATTAGAATCTTATGTATTATTGCAGATTATTCACAGCAGAGAAACTGCTCGGTATGCACCTTATTTTTTTTGAGACAGGGTCTCACCTTGTAGTTCAGGCTGGCCTCAAACTCGTGGCACTCTTCCTGCTTCAGCCTTTTGAGTGCTGGGATTAAGGTGTGAGCTACCTTGCCTGGCTGCAAATTGCTCTGAAACTCAATTTGCTTGTGAGACTCACCCATAAGGACACATCTGGCTCTTATTTCATTAGTCATGGCTGTATAGAATTCACCCAATGAATATCTTTAGTTAACCATTCTCCTGCTGATGGACATCTGGACCGTTTCCAGTTTCTTTCACTATTACAAGCCATACCTCAATGCCTCCTGGTACACATCAACTCTCTGTGTGGTACGCATCAGTACAATTAAAAATCTGCGGTGTATTGATCATCTCCTTTCCTAGATAATGCTAAATGATTCCTAACATTTTAGCAATCACTTAATTCTTGCTGCATAAAAAGTTTCCTTGCCATGTCCTTGCCAATAGTTGGTATAGTGTCTGTCAATCTCATGGGTACACAACAGTATCATTATGTGATTCTAAACCAAAATATTTAGAGGCTAGGTGTCTCTATGTTGCCTAGGCTGACTCTGAACTCCTGTTCTTTTTTTAATTTTTGGGTACTGGGGATCAAATTTGGGACTTTGTACTTTTGAGGCAGGCGGCTGAACCACTGAGCTAAATCCCTGGCCCTAAGGGGTTTTAATTTGCTTTTCTTTGATTACTCAGGTGATGGGGCATTTTTTTACTATGGTTTCACGAAATGTGCGTGTAAATTGAGTAAATGTACTTTTTAAAATTTAATTGTTTTGGTGCCGGGGATTTAGCTCAGCAGCATGGCACCTGCCTGGCAAGCATGAAGTCCTGAGTTTGATCACTGGTACAAAAGAAAAAAAAATTGAATTTTTTTGATGTGCCACAAATTTTTTTTTTTTATTTTTAAATTTTTGGGGGGGTTTATTGAGACAGGGTCTCAATATGTAGTTGAGACTGACCTGGAACTCACTATGTAGTCCAGGCTGGTCTCAAACTCATAGCAATCCTCCTGTCTCAGCCTCCAGAGTACTGGGATTACAGGTGTGTGCCACCACTCCTGGCCAAAAGTTTATTTTTTAAAATATATTTTATTTTACCCCTTACCCCCCACAATACCTCTCTTCTCCATATGTATAAAAGCTTTGTTTCCATTTTTTTCTTTCTATAAAATTTAATTTTTTTGAGACAGGGCCTTGCCATGTAGTTGAGACTGGATGTGAACACACTGTGTAGCCCAGGTTGTCTTCAAACTCACAGCAATTCTCCTGCCCCAGGAGAATCCTGAGTGCTAGGATTACAGGCATGTGCAACAACTGGCAATTAAAACTGAAATATTTAAAATATAAATAAATAAAATATAAATTACTATGGAAAAAATTAACAATGAACACTAGTCAAAAGATCTTAGATATTAGCCATGGAAACCAAACACATTTTTTAAATTTTTTCACATATACTGCCTAGATTTTGTTTACTTTTGTTTCAGTTAATAACCAAGAGTGTCAAGCATGGTGGCTCATGCCTATAATTCCACCACTGGGAGGCTGAGGCAAGAGGGTTGCAAGTTTGAGCCCAGTCTGGGCAATTTAGCCAGATCCTATCTCAAAATTACAAAAAAATTTTTAGAAATTAAATAGAAAAGCTGGGGTTTCAGCTGAGTGTGAAGGCCCTGGGGTTCAAGCCTCAATGCCAAAAAGCAAAAAAAAAAACAAAAACAAAACAAAACAATAAAAAACAGCAACAAAAAACCACCCCAAAAAAACCAAGAGCGGCAAAGCAAATAACTTAGTGGTGGAACTCTTGCTTGGTGTGTGGATTCCAGTTCCAGCCATGGAGAAGAAAAAAAAAAGTAAAAACAACAACCAAGAGCAGCTAGGTGTGGTGGCATATACCTATAATCTCAGCACTAAGGAGGTTGAGGCAGGAGGATCACCAATTGAAGGCCATCCTGAGCTATATAGTAAGTTCAAGGCCATCAAGGCCAGACTGGACACACATGCAAAATAAATAAACAACAACAAAAACAAAAACAAAAGCAAATAAGGTGTATAATTTCAGACTGTAAAAGAAAACTTTATGTAAACAGAAAACTTTCTTACCATAAACAGTATTGGTGAATCTTTAGTCTCAATATGAATTTTATGAATAGTTATATGCTAGAAGTAGCCACATGACCAGCCAACATTTATGTTCACAGTTGAACCATACATCACTGAAGTAAAACAGAAGCACTGAAAGACTGAACTGCCACATACCCAAATAATGCTCATGTACTCTAATAACTTCACAAAGTCCCGGGTCTTCAGAATCCAGGGGCAAGATCCCTAAAAATGAAAACAAGAAATTGAAGGGAAATAAGCCAATAAAGAATTCACTATGAATAAGACAAATTCACGGAAATTTTGTTCAGTAGAATTAAGAATGGTTCCAGTATTTACCACTGGGGAAAAGGAGAGACTTCAGCAATCTGGCAGGGAAGTGGACCTTAAATTTTCTAGCATGTACACTATGACACCTGTGTTGTCTCTTTCCTCCTCTGCATTTTTTTGTTTTTTTTTGGTACCAGAGTTTGAACTCAGGACTTGAGTTTGTGAGGCACGTGGTGGCACCACTGAGCTAAATCTCTGGCCCCCTATGCATTTTTTTATTAGTGCATACTGGTTATGCAGATGAATGGGTTTCAGTTTGGAGATTTGTACACACTCAACATACTGTGATCCTTTCTGTCGTTACCCTATGTGTGCCATTCCCTCCCCTAGTTTTCCTTTTCTGGGGGGGATTTCAACATGTATAATATATTTTGATTACATTTGTCCCCCCTTTAATCTGCCCTTATATGTTTCCCCTTCCCCTTTTTTCCTTTTTAGTAATAATTCTCTCCTTTTGTCATCATTTAAAAATTCTACATATTATGGAGAACACACAGTATTTGTCTTTCTGGGTCTGGCAAATAATGCTCAACATGATGATCTCTAGATATATCCATTTATCTGCAAATGACAAAAGCTTTTCTTTTTATGGCTAATATTCCACAGTGTATATATTACATTTACTCTATCCATTCATCTACGGATGGACACCTAGGCTGGTTCCCTGTCTTGGCTATTGCATATTGTAAGCAAAAAACATGGGTGCATTAGCTTTCCCATCACTGAGACACAATATTGGACACCCACGATTTAAAGGAGGAAAAGCTTAATTTAGCTCACAGTTTCAGGAGTTTAGTTCATGGTCAGTAGGCTCCAAGGCAGAAACATTAGCAGGTAAGAGCATGGTGGAGCAAAGCTACTTAGTCCATGGTAGCTGGGAAGCAGAGGGGGGAAACAATGCCAGAGAGGAACAGGTGGGGGACCATACATATGGTTGTACCCAGGGTCTTGCCTCCATGACGCATTCAGACACCCATCCAGGAGTGTGCCTTACAATCTGCCACGCATTTCTTAACCCAACGAGGTTGCCATGTGAAGACTAACAGTTATGATGGATATGCAGGTATCCCTGACTTTAATACTGCAAGGATCGTATATAGCTGGTTCAAATGCTAGCTCTATTTTCAGTTTTCTGAGGAACTTCCATACTGATTTCCATGCTGGCTCTTCAAATTTACATTCCCACCAGCAGTATAAAAGGGTTCTTCCCCCCACCCCTGCCTTCCTGTCAGCATTTCTTGTTTTTTATTCTTGATGATAGCCATTCTGACTGAGGGAGACAGAAGTTCAATGAAGTTTGACTTGCATTTCCCTGTGCTACCCCTTTCTCTTTCTCTTACTTGGAAATAACAGTAAAGATCACAGCCAGGAGCCAAATCAGAATCTTAGGGGCACCTACGCTTTTGGTTAATATTGTCCCTGATGCACAGCTACATTCCCCCAGTGTAGTCATGATCACAAGATAGCACTGGTGTGTTTCTAACAAAATTCTACTTTTCCCTTTATTTTTGGTCATACAGAATGCCACTGACTTGATGGGCAGAAAAAACTCACAATTTATCAGTTCTCCAGGAAAATACTTGAGTCAATGGCATTCCTGTATGCCGTCGAAGAAAGCTTTATAAATCCTGTTTCTTCCCCAATACTGAGGATTGAATCCAGGGCCTCACGCATTTACAAATCTATTCATTAGTGACTTCAAGCACATCACGAGACTAAACATTTTGTATGTTCATATAAGTATTTTCTATAAAGATATAAAAAAAAAGATATGGACATTTCAAAGAGTACTTTGTGTGACTGTCTAGACTACAAATACAAAAATATGTATGTTAAATATGATCTCATAAATTCTGGATTAAAAAAAACCCCAATACATTAAATGTTTCAAGTCAATTTTTAGTTTTATAAGTCAGCAAGGGAGCTCTGTAGGTTTCAAGTCAAAGAGTGGACACAGAACCTCTACATGACCCCGTCAGTCAATGGTCTTCAAGCATTGGGCTTCTCTCTTCTCCGGAGATGTCAGTCTGGCTTATGACCCATGACCAGCCAGGACAGGACTATACCAAGCACAACAGCCACTCTGGTTACTATATTTTAAATCTGTAATTATTCTAATTGATTTCCTTGTTTTTTTTTTTGGTACCAGGAAGTGAACTCAAGACTTTGCCCTTGTCAGGCAGGTGCTACACCACCGAGCCACATCCCTGGTCCTCTTCTATAGTCAAATAATTGACAAGCTTTAAATGTTCTGCTAATTGGGATCAAACTCGCAATTTTCTTTATCAATGAACATTTAAGAGTGACAAAACATTTATTTATTTATTTTTTGTGGTGCTGGGCAACATGCTAGGCAAGTTCTCCAGCACTGAATTACACCCTCGTTCCAGGGAAGTACTTTACACGAAGCAAATAATGAACATGAATAACTACAGAGGAGGGCTGGGGATTTAGCTCAGTGGTTCTACTGCCTGCCTTGCAAGTGCAAGGCCCTGCGTTTGCTTCCTGGTACCAAAACAAACAAAGAAAAAATAATTATAGAGGGGGAAAAAAGAAGAGATGGCAGTAAAATAGATGACTTGAAATAGAGAGAATTACAACTTACCAACTACTTCATCATCTGGTTGAAAGAATGATACCTTGCTTCCAACTGAAGAGGAGAAAAAATAAAGTTACTATTACAAGGTTACTGAATACAATTTTTATTTTACTATTAAAATAAATTAAAAGATCCCTGGGTCTATGATTACGTTGTTTTCTACTCCATTCTGATTCCCTTCTTTGGCTAGCCCGATCATCTGTCATTATTTTAGCTGCAAAATGAGAGCTATGTAAAATACTTTGACTTGGGAAATAAATTCAGCTTGGCACCAAGAAAGTTTGGAATTTTACAGAAATGATACGGTTACTTTTTCTCTGTATATATATAGACAAAAAGCCTTTACCATGAGTAAGTTCACTGAAATATTTGAAGAGTTCTAGGAGGAAATGGGAGGCAAAATATACAGTTAAGAGCCTGCATGTGCCTACATTTTACTGTATTCACACATTAGATATTCTCAACAGACCCAAGAAGTATTTTTCCTTTTTTTTTGGTTTTTTGAGACAGGATCTCACTATGTAGTTGAGACTGACCTGGAGCTCAGTATGTAGCCCAGGCTGGTCTCGAACTCATGGCAATCCTCCTGCCTCAGCCTCCTGAGTGCTGGGATTACAGGCATGTGCCACCATGCCCGGCTTTATTTTTGCTATTTTTAATTTTTATTAGTACATATTAAGTTTACAAAATATTGGATTTCATATTCTTCCTGTTTTACAGACAGTGAAGTAATCAGCAACTGGCCCCCTTTGGCTGTCAGCAAAAAGGCCTAGAACTCAGCTGCTGGTATTCAGCGAGAATCTAACTGGCATTCCTCCTTTTGCAGCTTGGTTGTTCCAGGGATTCTTCCTGTACCATTCTTGCCCAATACTTTTAGCTTTTGGTCCAGTGCACTGTTTTCTTTTCTGCTGAGCCACTTCCTCTTGGGATTGCTGACCTTTTTCTTGGGTTCTTTCACTTTCCTGTTTTCTCAGTCATCCCTTAAGAGGCATTCTGAAACGTTCTGTTTGCACTTCTCCACTTCTACCCTCTCTGGGTTAGCTCTTAGTTTTATTACTTCGAATGGAATCTACATGCTGATACTTCAAACAGAAACATTTCCAGCATAGATCTCTCATCCTATGGATTGGACTCATATAAGTCTTTGTTTAGAAACAAATTATATAAACTGTTTAACTTTTTTTTTTGTTTTTTTTGAGACAGGGTCTCACTATGTAGTTGAGACTGATCTGGAACTCACTATACAGCCCAGGCTGGTCTCGAACTCACAGCAATCCTCCTGCCTCAGCCTCCTGAGTGCTGGGATTACAGGCGTGTGCCACCACGCCCTGCTTAAACTGTTTAACTTTTAAATGCTCAAATTTTACATAAACTTCAAAAATTTAATGTGATGTGGTTACTGATGATTCTATAAGTTTTGATCCAAGGCTAACTTATACAAGTAATTCATGCTGATTTGTGGACATCATTTAAATGACAACACTGATCATTATACTTAATATCTAATTTTACATGAATTTAAATATATGCCTGAGTAGTTACTGAGCTGTAATCAGCAATTATATCAGTTAAACCCTATTCTTAATTTTAAAAAAGGACATTCTGTAAAACTAATTTTTATATTTGAAGGGATATGTATAGTTTTATATATTGGTAAACTAATTAGCTACTAGTTAATTTCTTTTACCTTACAAAATAAATATTTACTTCAATGAGCTTACCATCTAATACTATTCCAGCAACTTCTCTCCCAACAGGAAAGAAATCCTTTTCCATCTTCATTTCTGTCAAAAGCTAAATCATAACAGAGGGTGTTAACACATTAATGTCAAGAATAAACTCTGGACTTCTCACACATGAAAAAATGAGAGCAAAAAATCAAACCCTAGAAAAAGCAAACAGGATTCAATTTTTGGAATTAAGACAAAGCAAATAACTACAAAACAGGTTTATGTGTAAGTAGGAAATCAAGAGTCTGCTGAGGAATTAGTTGATATATAGGACTTAGGCATGGGTATTATTCAAATCACCAGTAACATCCTTTGTTCAACAGCTTTGTTGAGTACGATGTAAAATTATGGTTAAAACATCTCTTGGTTGGGTACACACTGTCTACCAGTAAACTATTCAGGTGAGGCAGGGGAGTCTGGAGAGCACGCTGTGAATATGGGGAATGCAGCCAATGAAGACTAAAGGCTCTGTATTCCTCAGCCCTTTTAAAGCACCTGACTTTCTCAGAAGTCTTTGGTTTGGAAGCAGGTGGGAAGAAGTGATGCATATTCACGTGAGAACTATTACAGGACTTCAGACTAATAATGGTCAGTGAGGTTTCTTTTTTAAGGCTATAGCTTTAAGAGATAAGTATTTTATTAGATTCTGACCAAATTCATTTTAAACCTTTGTCTTCTAGAATAACACAGTAGGCCGGGCGTGGTGGCACATGACTGTAATCCCAGCACTCGGGAGGCTGAGGCAGGAGGATCCCTGTGAGTTGGAGACCAGCCTGAGCTACATAGTGAGTTCCAGGTCAGTCTCACTACATAGTGAGACCTGTCTCAAAAACAAAAACAAAACAAACAAACAAACAAACAAAAACCTAAAATAACACAGTATTCTAAGGTAAACCTGTGTTTAAGTTTCTGCAATAATAATACTAGAGGTGCTGGACATAATTGTATTTATTTAGGAATAGTAAATTAAAAAGTAATTGTAATAATTTTCTTATATTATTTATTTAAAAAAATTTTTTTAAGAGCTCCTATATGTATACTTGCTTGTTAGAAATCTCTTTTTCAACGTGGAACTATACTTTTCCTAAGATGTTCATATGGTATTCTTACAGAAATACTGCATCCTTCACAGTTTGTTTCATATAGTTTGTTTATAGAAAAAGCTTCATTACATAGTCCAGGCTAGCCTTGAACTCATGATCCTTCCTGAATACAGCCATGGGCCACCATATTTCCCTTTCATGTGTATTTTTAACCATGGTTTTAGCAATTGTATCTTATTTTGTGCATTACTACACAGTTTTCATAACCACTAAGTTTATCAGTTATGTAGTATTTTATCCAATTGACCTGTACCATAATTTATCATTTCTGTTAGGGAAAGTCTTTTGTAGATTTGGATTTTAATAGATTTTTCATAGTTTCAGAACAAACATTTTCTGAACATAGATGTCTGTAGACAAGGAATAGTACTAATATTCATATATATATATTTCTTTCTTTTTTTTTTTGGAGACAAGGTCTTGCTATGGACTCCAGGCTGGCCTTGAGCTCACAGCAATCCTGCCTCTGCCTCCCAAGTACTGGAATTACAGGTGTGTGCCACTACACTGAACAGTATTTATATTCTTAGTGAAAAGATTTCAGGGGACTTTCACAAATTCATGTCTCAAGTAATACTCATTTTACACAGTTGTCCAATGGAAACCTATAACCTTGTTCTGTAATTTTCTCTTAGATGTTATGAAACAAAACTTAGCAAGTTTTGTAGAAACTGTGTTAACACTATAATCTAGTAAGTTAAGGGTCCAATAAACAATGGCAACAACGGAGTAAATCTACTTGTGGCACATTTAACCATAGTTTACCATTTGTAGAATTTCTATATATTTTTATGGTTAATAATGATAGATTACTGTGAGATGGTGCAAGACTGGAGATATGTATTTATGAGTGGGGAGAGGAGAGGAGAGGGAGAGAAGCAGAGACAGAGAGGTAAATCGTACACAGAGCATGAGCCATATCCAAAGACATTAATTAGAATTGATCTACAGAATTGATGGTTAATAACTTAATTGATTTGGTTTCTAGTTTTTATTTTTATCATATTTAGAAATATGATCTCTTCCTTTAAAGGCCTTACTAACTATAAATTCTCAACGTTGTGCAAAGTGAAGAAATTTATAAAATATTTTCACATGATATAAAATACATTATCTGTAATCATCTCCATGAAGAAATATACAAATGCACATTACTTTTCTGTCTTGTTCAGTTCTTCTTAGGATAATAATTTCTTGGCATTCAGAAGTCAGTTATATTTGTACACTAAATATACTATGAAACTTTCATTTAACTTTTGGCTTTTATTTTAAAACAGCAGTACCTTTGTATTTATCTGGCTCAGAGCACAAGCTTTAACTTGAAGTTTCACAAAGTTATCCTCTGTCACAGGAAGATTTTCCTGGAATCAAATATTAACAAAAGAACTCCTATGAGAACATTCCTTTATGTTGTGGGAATTTTCATAAATAATTGAACAAGATTACAAAATGCTTTAGGTTTATATTTTTTAAAGTCTCAGATACCAACATGGATATACATATATAATAAACTAAGTTTAACAAAGCGGAGCAATAAATATTATACTTTGTCAGCCTGAATAATCTCAAAGCATCAGACCTTCATACACACATAAACTATTCTTTACTAATATTTAGAATTTTTCAATACTATAAATGAAATTTAAAGTCAATTGCTCTTCTTGTCCTTAATATATCTGTTTTGGGCATTTCAGTATGTCTCATGGAATTTTGGGATCAAAATACACACTCAGTGGAATTTAATTCTCTCTTGTATTCCACAACTAGATATAACTTAAATGCCAAAAATGTTTCAAATCCAGGCATTTAGTGTCATCCAAGCAAGATCGTTTTTGCAGAACCAGGGATTGAACTCAGGACCTTGTGCTTGCCAGGCAGGCACCACTGAGCTACATCCCTGGCCTCAAGATGATTAAATATATTGTACTATCACATTCTCCAAATACCTTTACCCTGTCCAATAATTACTCTTTCTCAAACTCCATATGCTCAAAATTAGATTAAGAGCTCACAAACAAGAGCTCTTGCATAGTTCCTCCTATGACTTATCAAAAGGATTACTATGTGTACCAATAAACTCAATGAGGAAAAAAAAAAGGATTGCTATGTTTTATTTTCCACAAACACAATATTCTGGGAGTATCTTTTGTGAAATCTCAGATTTGCTATTTAGTTATATTATGAAGATATTATACAATAGATGAATTTGTGAATTTTACTTAAGATTGTATAACCCAGAGACAATTTTTAGTAAGACTCAATTAAAATGCAGATCCTCATTCATGACCCAATGGTAGATATAAGGCTGTTTGAGATCTAGACTTTTGATGTTAATATTTTGCAGTGAAAGAGGAGAGAAAAACTGAATTAAATTCATGATCATTTCCATAAGAAATTCTTATTCTATGAAATGCTGATATACATTTAGCATTTACATTTCATCTGTAAAAATTCAATGAAATTTTGGCTTGTCATAGATTTCTCTAATAATTATCAGATGAAAACTTTACTATCTATGCTTAACGTAGTAAAACAAAACAAAACAAACAAAACCAAAACTAGAGATTATTTAAAACTTTGTGAATGAGATAACTTTGGTAAGCTCAGAAATTTGTGTGGTAAACAATGCCTTTCTAACTCTTTAATTTCAAATTATAATATATTTCCTGAATATGGCTACAAACTAAAAACTTGCTTTATTGTGTTTAGAATAAGTCAGTTAAATCTGCAACACGCTAGGGGTGTTCTGTTTTTCTAATGCCTTTAGCACTACCTCCCTGAGGAACTAAAACTACTTTGTAGCCATCTTTTCAAATCATAGTTATACTTCAATATGGACTACTATTTCCACATAAAGATGAAAGGAAAGTAATTTAAGGAATTTTATTTAACAAACTTTGCTTATTTAGCTAACTCAAAATAACTAGTGATAAGGTCATTTAAAATTGGGGCTATTCTGTATGGAAAATACGCTATCTTAAGGTTAGGGCAGAGGTGGCAAAACTACGGCATGCGTGCCGCAGCCAGCTGTTGGTTATCACGGAAAGCTCCAAAAAGTTCACCATTACTGGGGATATGGCGTGGCTACTGGACTGCTTGTCTCGTGCCGTGAGGCTCTGGGTCCAATCTCCACCACTACAATAAAAACTAACAAAAAACTGTCCTGTAACAGTATATGATTAAACACGTTTTCTTACCCTTTCTTGAAATACAAACATTATTTCTTCATTTGTGGAACTCCGTTGAAAATATAAACCTTTCATAGTCACCTAAAAAAAAAAAAAATACATGTAACAAAGTCTTCCAGACCAAATAAAAGCAAAAATTAAAAATTAGTTGGCAGAAGATAAAATAACAGATATAAATGTAGTTTTCAAACAAGTAAATTTAGATAATTTTTCATATAAAGTAATCAGATATGAGAATATGCAACCATTTCCAGGTATGTGTCTAGGTTTACTGTTGAATATTTTACTCAACAGGCAATGTATTCTAAATTTTATTTTCTTAAAAACAAAACAAAAAAACAAAAAACCCCCCTAGATGTACTTAATAAAAAAAACCAAAACAAAACAGGGCTGGGGATTTAGCTCAGTGGTGCCAAGGCCTGCATCACAAGCAGAAGGTCCTGAGTTGATCCCAAAACAAGAACAAAAACAAAAACCCAAATCCTTATGAGGGCCAGAGATAAGGGCTTTCAAAGTCTTAAAAGACAAGTAGAGGCCAGGGATTAAACTCAGTGGTTCTGCCACCTGCTTTGCAAGGGCAAGGTCCTAAATTCAATCCCCAGTACCAAAAAAAAAAAAAAAAAAAAAAAAAAAAAAAAAAAGGACAATTAGAAAAGGAAAAGAAGGGAGTACTCAAGACACCTCTTGAAACTGTGGCCCATATTGTTCTGGACAGTTCTTGTGGTACTGGGAATTGAACCCAGGAGTGCTCTGCCACTGAACTGCATCCCCCGCCGCCTTTTTTGTACTGGGGATTGAACTCTGGCCCTTGTGCTTGGCGAGGCAGGCCGTGGAACCACTGAGCTAAATCCCCAGCTCTTCTGGACAGTTCTATAAACCAGCTAATTCAAGTGTTTAAACCATATTCCATAGACTTCTTGAAGCATTTAACATTTCTACAGCTATTTAATTTTCATAGTAATCACATTGTAAGACTTTTAAATGTAAGTTTTATAGAAGTATAAAATAGACACAGAAAACTGTATAGTGTATCCAATTTTAAAAGTGAATATCCTCATATCACAGTAGGAGAATGAACATGTAAGCTTTCTTATTTAATTATTAAACTTGGGCTTGTGTTATTTTATGAAATAATTTAGTAAATTAAAAGAAGTTTCATTACATATAATGTTAACTATACTATATATTTTATTTATTGTTTATTTTTTATTTAATTTTTTGGTACCGGGGATCGAACTCAGGTCTTTGTGCTTGCGAGGCAGGCGGCAGAACCACTGAGCTAAATCCCCGGCCCTATACTATACTATATATTTTATATGTGGGCCAAGACAACACTCCTTCACTTAATACAACCCAAGCAAGCCAAAGGGTTGGACACTTGTGTTATAAATTATTTCACTGTACCAATCAATAAGTTATTATCCATTCCCCTAATAAACATTTGAATTATTATAGTACTTAATGGTTTCCTATAGAGCTGCTAACATGAGATATATCATTCAAATGTAGAATACTTCATCCTTCAGGACTGATAATTAGTACCACTTTATAGGGCGGCCTATATAATTGGTAATCCCAGTGCAAAATGAAAATGTGGGGGTTGTATGGCATGGAGGTGCATAGTTGTGATCAGGAGGCTGGGGTAGGGGGATCACCACAAGTTTGGGGCCAGCCTGGGCTACATAGTGAGTTCAAGGACACTTTGAACTGTGTAGTGAAGTCCTGTCCAAAAAAAAAAAAAAGTGGGGAAACATGTCCAGAAATTACTTAAATTTTATCGTAGTCATGCAATGGTTGCTTTGTAAGATGTGATAATCAAATGCTGGCACTAACAGAATATGAACACATAATGAAGTCATATAAGGAAATTACATATAAGCCGGTGTGATGGCACATGCTTATAATTCCAGCACTCTGGGAGGTTGAGGCAGGAGGTTCACAAGTTCAAGTCCTGCCTAGGCAACTCAGTGTTTTAAGGAGACCCTGTTTCAAAAAATAAAAACTAAAAAAATAAAAAAGGGCTGGGGTGTAGCTCAGTGTGAAGGCCCAGATTCAATCCCCAGTACTGATAATAAACAAAAAGAACAAAAAGATGAGCAAGGTTAAATGACTAAGTTAAATATTCTACCCCTTTGGTGACAGGTCTTTGATCAATGTGTTTGCTGGGGCATGGGGGAGAGGAAAAACCTAAGTACAGAGCACATGTATTCCCTACCTCTTCTGCCTGGCTTTCAAGGCTCTCTAAAATGCACACCCACTATCCAATCTATCTTATGTTGTCCACCACGGTGCCTCAAATCCTGTCTGTCCTTGTCAGTGGGTGACTTCACATTAACAGTTACCCCAGCTCAAGGCTTCCACATGTGGTGTGTTTCCTCAATGTGCTGTATTAACTCTGGTAGCAAGGAAGTAAAGCTCAAGTCCTCAGTGATAGTCAATATACCCCATCTGTTCCACGCTTCTAGATTTCATTCCATGCTCACAAATAAAACCCTGTTTTATTTACTTACTAACTAGTTGGCTTTCCAAAGTATTGCTTGGGTAAATCAATACCCCTTTATCATTAGATAAATAAATCTTTGCTCCTACTTAATCTGGAGCTAGTGGGGTTGTCCTTTCCAGAAAGGGAAAAATTATATGTCAGATCTTGATTTCAAAGCATCTCTTTATATTTGGGATGCCACTGTGTCCTCTGAGCTTAAAACTTAACGGCATGTGGTACAGATCAGGATAGGCAGTCACATGGACCTTACACTACTCCAAAGACTTGGAAGGGAACATGTATGCTTATATCCTGAGGGTCCCCAAAAGACAATATTATACACAAATAATCCAATATTTTTAGTCATATAATGCTAATTTCTCCAATCCTCTGGCTGATGAATCAAAAATATTCTCAAAGTTTACAATGTAACGAAAGAGGTGCTTTCACAAAAGAGACTAGAAAAAAAATAAGGAAATTACATATGAGCAGGGTGTGATGGCATATGATTTGTTTTTGTAGCCCTCCCAAAAGGAATACCAAGTTCCTAGCACTAAGGAAATGGCAGAAGCTGGATGTGGTGCTGCACATCTGTAATTGCAGCACTCTGAAAGGATGAAGCAGCAGGACTGCAAGTGTGAACCCATATGGGGCAACTCAGGCTCTGTCTCAACATTAAAAAGGGCTGGGGATGTGGCACAGTGGGAAGGCCATAGGTTCAATCCCCATCTCCAACCCTCAACGCTCCAAGAAAATGTCAGAAGGGTGATATTCTTTTTGTTTTGTTTTGTTTTTTTGAGACAGGGTCTCAGTATGTAGTTGAGACTGACCTGGAACTCACTATGTAGCCCAGGCTGGTCTCAAACTCACAGGGATCCTCCTGCCTCAGCCTCCCGAGTACTGGAATTACAGGCATGCGCCTCCACACCCAGCTCAAAATGGGTGATATTCAGGGACCACATAATTTCTAGGCATTGGTCCAGATTAAATGGAATACTTGTCTATCACTTAATAAGATTTTATCAGATGTGAAGATATTTGCATATAGTATAACTACACACCTTGTAAAATAAAAAAAATTTGTAATGACATTTCTAAGAGTCATGTAATCTCAAAATTATATTTCCTACTATAAACTTTGCTAAAACAAAAAGTATTATATAAAACTGTTTTGCATGTTGTTTTTGGTTAGAACTAGGGGCTGAACCCAGTGCTCTACTACTGAACCAAACCTCCAGCATAATATATATAT